AAAATAAATAAACGTTGAAAAAAAAAAAATTTAAAAAAAAGAGCTAGATCCTCAACCGACTGAGCCCGCCCCGCGCTCCTGTCCATACGGCGTCTTACTGCCCGTTCACGCCCGCGCCCTAACGTCTGTGTGTCCCTGGCGCAGCTCTGACTCCCATGTGCCGTCCCACAGGTTCTGGACGTGCCACGATGAGCGCTTCCTGTACATGCTCATGGAGTTCGTGCCCGGCGGCGAGCTTTTCAGCTACCTGCGGAAGCGAGGCCGCTTCTCCAGCAGCACTGGGCTGTTCTACTCTGCGGAGATCGTCTGCGCCATTGAGTACCTGCACTCAAAGGAGATCGTCTACAGGGACTTGAAGCCGGAAAACATACTGCTGGACAGGGATGGCCACATCAAGCTCACCGACTTTGGGTTCGCCAAGAAACTGGTAGACAAGTAAGTGACCGTTTTCACCCATTTCAGCCCACTCGCCCGGTGCCGCGTCCGGAGGCCAGTGTTGTGTGCTCCGTGGTCGCGAGTGTGTAAGTGACGTCCTGCCCTCTTTGTCTTCTGTGCCGGACTTCCCTTCCTTGCATAGCGCCCTCAAGTCCATCCGTGGGGTTGCAAATGGCGGGACCTGCTTTTTCGGGGCTGAATAATAGTCCCCAGTGCACCAGGGTTCCCCTTTCTCTGCATCCTTGACAACACCTGTCCTGTCTTGCCTTTTTGATTCCAGCCCTTGGGGCGCCTGGGTGGCGCAGTCGGTTAAGCGTCCGACTTCAGCCAGGTCACGATCTCGCGGTCCGTGAGTTCGAGCCCCACGTCGGGCTCTGGGCTGATGGCTCAGAGCCTGGAGCCTGTTTCCGATTCTGTGTCTCCCTCTCTCTCTGCCCCTCCCCCGTTCATGCTCTGTCTCTCTCTGTCCCAAAAATAAATAATCGTTGAAAAAAAAAAAAAAATTTGATTCCAGCCCTTGACAGGTGTGCGGGGGTGTATGTCGAATTAGTGATTCTTTTTATCACAATCATACAGGTGCATGTGTACTGTGCATGGAGCTCTCTCCCCTCCCCCCGACCCTGGCCATTTCTTTTTTTAAAAAAAATTTTCTTGAATGCTTATGATTTTTGAGCGCCCGTGAGAGTAAGAGCACAGATGCTGGATCGGGGATGAGTTGAGTTCCAGGAGCAAACAATAATTCTATAAGGTGAAATCTTACGCAGTTGGGCATACGATGCTTTTTTGTGTGTGCGCTTTGCCCCATGATCCGCAGTGCTCCATTTAGCTGAGGACATGTTCGGACCTAGTGTGTACGATTATAGAATATACAACGTATAAACGTCCAGCCTTTAGCTTAAGTGAGGCTAATGCACTTGTAACGCCCGTGTGTGTTGATTTCCATGGGTCTTTAAGTGCCGCCAATCACAGAGACCATATTCTCTCTCCGTGAGGAGTAATTAAGCCTTTATAGATACAATTCAGGGCAGACAGTACCGTAAATCCCATGCATTTAAGCACGGCGCATTCGTGGCATATTTCATCAAAAATATCTCATCAGGGGGCGCCTGGGTGGCGCAGTCGGTTAAGCGTCCGACTTCAACCAGGTCACGATCTCGCGGTCCGTGAGTTCGAGCCCCGTGTCGGGCTCTGGGCTGATGGCTCAGAGCCTGGAGCCTGTTTCTGATTCTGTGTCTCCCTCTCTCTCTGACCCTCCCCCGTTCATGCTCTGTCTCTCTCTGTCCCAAAAATAAATAAACGTTGAAAAAAAAAATTTAAAAAAAAAAAAATCTCATCAGATATTTCGTCAAAAATATTTCATCCAAATAACCTGAAAACAAAAGAAACAAAAAAACCTACAAAACCGACGTGCGATGTGATGGGAGTGTCTACACAGCGTGAAAGAAAATTTTCCACACCCGTCTCTATATCCTTCCGCCTTACTTGCCTCTTTGGACTCAGAATCTAAAATTCTATCCAAAACCAAACCTTTAGACCCCGACAAGCCCCACATACTGAGTCACCCAGGTGCCCCAAGAAGCCTTGTTTTAAAAAGTAAAATTTTAATAAGATAGCATACTTAACCCACTGCATCTCAAATATGATTATTCCAACACATAACCCGTGCAAACAGTTGGGCGCGTTTATGTGAATTTTTGGTGCATCTCAGGGTGCTACGTTTTCATCAGAAACACTTGCTCTGTGCTTTCACCCATAAAATTTACAGTTGGGAAGATAGACACACATGGCCAGGCTTTCCAAAAATACTGGAAACTTTCTCAGCAACTGTAGTGAGTATTGGGTTTTAAATTTAAGTGTAGGGGCACCTGGGTGGCTCAGTCGGTTGGGCGTCTGACTTCGGCTCAGGTCATGATCTCGCAGTTCGTGAGTTCGAGCCCCGCGTCCAGCTCTGTGCTGACAGCTCAGAGTCTGGAGCCTGCTTTGGATTCTGCCTCCCTCTCTGTCTATTCCTTCCCCCGCTCGCACTCTGTCTCTCTCAAAAATGAATACACATTAAACAAGTTTTAAGTTTAAATTCATTAAAAGTGGATTAAAATTTCAATTCCATAGTCATTCCAGGTCATGATCTCAGGGTTGTGAGTTTGAGCCCCATGTTGGGTGTAGAGATTACTTACAAATAAAATCTTAAAAAAAAAAAAAAGAAAAGAAAGAAAAGAAAAATCTCCCCATATTTTTCCATTTCTTGATGACGTGGGGATAGCTAAGGTGATAATTCTATTCCTCATGTTATGGAAACGTCTGCATTTATGAGAACGTTGATTTTGGTCGGGAGCAGTTTTGCACGTTGTGATGCGGTCAACTTCCATCTGATTATCCCCGTGGAATTTCCCGTATTCCCTTTGTAAGAATAAGGCCCATAAAAGCAAACTGGTCTTCCATACCCCTGTGAACGGAGACCCTATTAACACATCGTAGCTGGTTTAGAATATTGGGGCCGTCCCCCGTTGGCATCACGTCGTAGAAAGTCCTTACACCCCCTTCTCCGCTTTACGTTTTCTCTAAGTCCTTTTATTTGGAAGTCTGATTCCAACCATCCCGCCTTAAAATGTTTCACGCATTCGCTTGCTTCTAAGTTTGGCGAGCAGTGTTCCTCTGCAGTTAACCCATCGTGTCCATTTAAGACTAAATGGATGACGGTGGTGTTGTAGATAACGTCACGCAGTTAATTTACTTAAGACGTTGAGTTCGGGGAAAGAAGGCCTCATTACCATCTCGATCTATTGCTTTGACAAACAACTTCATTTTTTTTTTATTTTAATTTTTTTTTAACGTTTATTTATTTTTGAGACAGAGAGAGACAGAGCATGAACGGGGGAGGGTCAGAGAGAGAGGGAGAGACAGAATCGGAAGCAGGCTCCAGGCTCCGAGCTGTCAGCACAGAGCCCGACGCGGGGCGCGAACTCAGGAGCTGTGAGATCATGACCTGAGCCGAATTTGGACGCTCAACCGACTGAGCCACCCAGGCGCCCCAAAACAACTTCATTTTTCAGGCATGGGCCATGTAGACCGCAAAAACACTCCCCCCCACCCCCCCTTCTTCCTAATTGTTCTTCTTGATTTGCTTGGTGAAGTCTCTTCCTTCTGGGCCAGCTCTGGACCCGTGGTGCCCGTGGGCACATAGTCACGTCCTCTCTTCTGGTTCAGGATTCGACAACAGACCTGATTTTTGCATAAAGGTGGAAGGAAACGTCCACAGGGATCAGCCCAGAAGACGTGGAACCAACCACAGACTCATCTGCAGTAATGTTTTTTGTTTTTTATTAAAGTTTTTTTAATGTTCTTATTTATTTTTGAGAGAGAGAGAGAGTGTGAGTGTAAGAGACCCAGAGAGAGAGGGAGACACAGAATCCGAAGTGGGCTCCAGGCTCCGAGCTGTCAGCGCAGAGCCCGATGCGGGACTAGAACCCACAAGCCGCGAGATCATGGCCTGAGCCGAAGTTGGACGCCCAACCGACTGAGCCACCCAGGCGCTCCTGCAAGAATGGTTTTGAACACATAATGTGGAAAAGTGTGTTTCTCCTGTTTTTTTAATAACATCGCGTGCAGTGTGGTTGAGCACGTAATTCAGTAGTCCATCTGCTTCTTTCGTAGTGACTTAATTTTTTAAGCTTTCCCTCGGTTCTCAATAGCAGGTGTATTTTTTCCCTCCTGTGTCTTGATTTTACAGAACTCTTATTTTCTTAGGGTGAGTCCTTTTTACACTGGTGTTTCTTATTGTTGCGTGGAACTATTTATCACACACTTTCTATTATGCACGTAGCCTTCCTAGCAGATGAAGGGGCATGCTAGAATTATTTTCCAGTTTCTGAAGTGATCAAAAGAAAATACTGACACATTTACTCCAGTTATTCTGTTGTAGTGTAAAAAATTTTTTTTATGTTTATTTTTGAGAGACATTGAGAGAGAGAGTGAGTGAGGGAGGGGCAGAGAGAGAGGGAGACACAGAATCTGAAGCAGGCTCCAGGCTCTGAGGTGTCAGCACAGAGCCCGATGCGGAGCTCGAACTCATGAACCGCGAGATCACGACCTGAGCCGAAGTCGGACGCCTAACCGACTGAGCTACCCAGGCGCCTCTGTAGTTTTTAAAATTCACATGTTTCATTGAGTGCTGTCCTTTGGATTTTCGTGCCTGACATCTTGCTAGTAATAAGTAACATTGTTCCCAGTCTTTTACAATAGTTCCTTAACGTTCTCAAACACCCACCAGAGGGGAGAGAATTGTTGACCTTGAATCCTGTATGCCTCTCACCCAGATTCAGTGGGCATCAAACCTTTGCCACCTGATTTGAGGGGTTTTTTTTTTTGGGGGGGGGGCTT